AGGGAGAGAGAGGGGGGAGAGACGCTGTTAAAATCTTTTGAAAATATTTGATAATTTACAAATAATTAAGTATACTTTTTGCGTGCGTTTTCAACATTTAGAATTTAAATTCCGTTTTAATATTTCTAGAGCACGTTTAGCCTAGATCCTGGATTTAGAAGTTGCACTAAAACCCCCCAACAACAACGAAATATTGGGCAAGGTGCATTTGATCATCTGCCGAACGATAAACAAGCTATGAACTTTTTAGTCGTAAAACGCGAGACCAACTTTGATAAAACATTATCTGTCTCTCATTTTTAACAAGTCGTTACCTTCGAATTACCAAGTTCTATCTGGTACATTTTTGACCGTGCTGAGTTGCTTAGACCGTGAGGACAGAAACCATGTCTTATCTGCTTTATCAAAAGCGTAAGATTATTCGGAGTCGTTGTCAAGATATTCAACAAATTGCATTCTGAAAAGCTTGACATTTTGTAAAACTCAAAATGTTTAAAGTTAAAATTCTCAATACTAGGTACTGAGCAGATAGAACACTGTGTGAGGTAGCGAAGTGTGATGCTTTGAGGCCCGATGTTTTATTTTATTCCCTTGAAATATTCTCCGACTAATCAAGTTTGTTTTAATAGAGAGGCTACTATATTTGATACTGCTGACGCCGACAATTTGATACACTTATGTCATTTAACACGGTGCGAACACATAGCATGTATGGCATCGTGGTGCAATCAGGCTGTTGTCACAATAATCAAAACGAAGAAACTATCATCTTTCCAATCCTTTAGCAAGTTTTATCGCATGTTTATTTGTTTTGGCTCATCACTTTGTATGTCCCTTTAAAAACATATATATGTGTCGATTTAACTGAAAAAAAAGTTCATTAAAGACACACAAATGAAATTTTGCAGTTTCCAAGGACTTTCACACATTGGAAGTCACCTAGCTTTGGGGACCATTTCTGGTATATTATAGTTCTGGACCCAGGCGACTCCAACCTCCTTCAATAAAAAATACCTCGACTTCTATTCAGGATCGACGAGTATGTTTTGCTTTGAAAGCTAAACAAATGAACAAGCGGTAAGATGATACCAGTAAATCCACATGCCTAAAAGTTTGGTGAGAGCCTGATTCCACTGCGTCATGACACGAGTATGTCAGATCTGTAGCAGTCGGAAGGCCATGTTGCAACACATTTTCAACTATCATAAAGACATCACAAACGCGAACTAGTATACTTCATAACATTAAACATGATAAAAATGGTATCGCTTTAACGCCCCTATCAACACTATTGGGCTATAATTAAAGTTTAACGTCTATCTCCGAAAGGACCGAGCCAAATGGGAATTTCGTATAAAGTGTCTTTCCCAAGGACACAAAAATGAACCAAACTGAGGCCCAGACCCCGGAACCCCCAATCTCACGATCACGGGTCCGGTAGCCTAACCACTAGGCGACCGACTCCACTAATATTACACGTCATGTTATCTACGGTCTTGCCTTTTCAGGTTTCAGATAAAGGATATTTTTATAATTGAAGACCCTGTATGAATAACTGAATAACAAAGTGTTTCTTCACTTCAGAATATTTTTGTCAGCTTTATTTTCCTATCCACATTGTTATTTATTAGAACAATATACTGAGTTGCAAAAGTTCTGTCACATCCATTATATTATTACTATAATTTTCGGAACAGCGTAAAGATGGCAGCTAACATGAAAAGTATGTCTTATGTGACTATGAGACTGCTAGTCCAAGGGCAGACGAAAAAAAATCACAAACCGGAAATAGTACGTGGGCAAAGTGTTGGTATTGATTTAATTCTATGTTGAAAACAAAGCTTCATACACACAAACTTTGCTTTGAATCAATCAGGCAATGTGTATACACACCTTACATACTAAAAAATTCCCTATTTTTTAAAGGTTGGGTCGTTCGTTCACTTCTTAGTGTACTTTTAAGGTAGCTGTGACAGAACTTTTGCCGCACGGTATATAATTTTTATTCAATGTCTATCTACATATTGTGTTTTTATCATTCAAGTAGAGCGAAGACAAATTTCGAACATGGTTGGTAAAGTATCAGCTTATCTTTTGTTATATTATCGTATCGTATCTTATCTGATCTTATCACTTAAAAGTACCCGGATAATAACGCGTCGGCAAGCATTGTCAGGTGAACAGAACGCGAGTCCTCATGGAGTTGAGAACCTGTTTGCATGTTCATAAATATGCCATTACAATCTTTACGGCAAAGCCGAACAATTTTATTCATCCGATCGGTTAAATGACAAAGCAGGCCAGCAAGGAAAGGGTTAATGTCTAGATAAATCGTTCAATCTACTCGGCAATGCTCAAGTCGCAACCCCCATCTAGTATGTAGCGAACCTGATAGTTGTACAGTCTAGCCCTTGGATGTTGGAAGAGAAGAAAATGTTTAGCCTATGTTGACCTTGGAACCAAGAGCTTTTCTCCACCGCC